TGCTGTTTGGGAGCCCCTTGGGCACTGCTTCCCCTGCCCTCTGATAGTGCCAGGACCAGGCCAATGTTGCTTCTCAGTAGCCTTATCATTCACAGGTGCCTCTCTAGCCTGCACAGATGATTGACAAGAGATCACCCAAAGGATTCTTTCTGAAGGTTTTTTGTTTTGCATGTTGATACTTCATACTGAGGATCTTCTGAGGAAGGAAGCGGGAGGGTGCTGTAGCAGTGGTACTGGGTGCCTGGCCTCCATCGTCCCACCCTTCACCATCCCACCTGGCTCCCTTGCCATGTTGGTGCTGAGGTTTCCTGTTTGGTAAGATCAGATTATTTAAGAGAAATGAAAGAGCTTCTTATGGCTTTGCCACAAGCTTGCCTATGGGTTTCAATCTTGGGAGGCTACCACTGGTTCCTACCACCATTGTCTCCATGCAGCAGCAGCTGGGCCCAAGGGCCAGCTGCCCTCTTGGCTTTACGGGTCTGTTTCTGCTTTCCTGACACCCCAACTGTGCAATCCTTGAAGATTCCCTGACACCTCCTTGCCCAAGAAATGAGTCCTTGGGATTCCACCTCTTCTGTGTGGGAGCCCCCAGTTATTGTCTGATAGGTAAAGAATGAGATTCAACAATAGACTGAGCCCTGGAAATCCATAAAATGGCTGGAGATGGGTGTTTACCACCACTGCCCAGTATATAGTACTGTGTAGCAAGTTTGTATGATGAAAGTTCTTGTTGTACACCTGCCAGGGTATTTGCCACTCTTTGTACAGAGCAGTTTCTTGGGGCAACAGAATGAGTCTTGGAAGCAGGGCTCTGCTGGGTCTCTAGTGAGCTAAGAGCCTCAGACTAAGATAGGATGGGTAGGGTTTTGCTTCTTGATATACTTCTTTGAACTAGTTTATTATTCCACAGGTCCCTTCATCTTCCCCTAGCCCTTAACTTAAATTCCCCCAGATAAATAGGTTCATGAAGAGTGTTATATAGTCCTGAATCATGTTGAGACTTAAGAGATGGCAAATGAATCCCACCCCTCTTTCCCTTGGGTATCACTGATCCACTTCACAGTGTGTTCTGCTAAACCATAGTATATTCTTAATTCACTCAGTATACCCCAGCAACAATGTAAGTAAGTCTTTGCCATCCTTGGCTGAGATCTGCTCTCCTGTGGAGAAGTGTTTTCCCAAGATCTTTTCCTTCCCTTCTTTGAAGTCCCTGTGTTTGGTGTGTTCCATGCCTCTGCTGGCCCCAATAAGGCCTCCCTTCCCCGGCCCCTGTGCCAGGCTGAGGTGTGGAACTGCCAACTCCACAGAGGGTGTGCTAGATTACAGAGGTGCCGAGAGGAGTCAGAGCTGCCTTCCCCCTTGGAGAAAGTGGAAAGGCCAACAATGGCCTACATAATTGCCTGCCTCACTTCAGCTACCTCTTAAAGCCCATGGGGGGTTAGGTCTGTTGGATCCCAGTGTGATGGGATGGGAGGCTACAGTGTGTAGGTGGCCCCAGCTGGACTCCTCCAGGTCAGGACCAGGTGGAACCTTGGCTCTCAGCTCCACACATTTCTAGGCACCCAGATCAATCTGTAGATGGGGATTTCTTTTTCTTCCTCTCCATTGACCAAATCTTCCAATCACTACAGCTGCTCTGCTCACTCTGCTTTCCAAAGTCAGCCTGGGTGCCACTCTAACTGGCCAGGAGTCTGGGCCAGATGTGGGGGAGGTGGCCTGTCCATGAGTGAGGGCCAGTGCCTTCCTCACCCAGGTGAGTCCCATGCACATAACCTCAGTTTTAGGACCAAGAGCTGTGTTGGTTTCTTAGATTGTTAGTTTTCCCTCCAGGGGACCACAGTAGGTGAGGCTTAGAGCCTAGCTGTTGGCTGTGCGAACATGTGTAACTCATGTTCAGGACCTTGTCCAGCTGAGAGCTTCATGCACACCAGATTTTGAGAGGTGTCAGCAGCACTTTTTGTTTGTTGTTTGTTTTCCATGAGATTTTTGGACCATGGGCTGAGCTCAGGCACTTTGTGTACGAATGTTATTTCTGTAAAGACGGTTATTTAAGCCTCCTCCATTCCCACCATGTTGGCCCTGCCAAGGACTGACTGAGAGGCCAGTGGAGCTGCCCTGTGCGGGGAGGCTGAAGCCTGCTGAACTGCTGCTCCAGCCCTCACCTTGCACGGCACAGGGTTGATCACTTGGGACAGCCAGGCATTTGCCCGCTCCTCTCACTCTGCCTAGGGAGGGAGCTGCCTGTGTTCCTATAACTGCTTTCCTTATGGTCCATCCTGGCCACCCAGACTTGTCTGAAGTTGTGCTGACAGCTTTTTGGGGAGGGGGGGAATTAATCTCCTTTTGGTATTCACAACAGCCAGGGACTTGATATTGATGTATTTTAAACCACATTAAATAAAGAGTCTGTTGCCTTACTTATTCCTCTCTTGCCTTGTGGTCATTTGATGTTTTTGGATACATCTGGTCCCTGCCATCATCACTGATGTCTGGATCTACTGCAAAGTGGCTATGGCTATGCCTAGCATCCTTTACCTTCCAGTGTTTCCTCTTGCCTTTTGGCAGTCACCACAGATTCAGGACACTGACATTTACTTAAGCTGCCTTTGCCCTTGGCAAAGTTAGCATGTGAGATGATTTTTTTTTTTTTTTTCCACTCAAAAAATCTCCCTGAGCCAGGCACAGTGGTGCATACCTGTTAATCCCAGCAGCTTTGGGAGCCTGAGGCAGGAGGATCACAAATTGAGACCAGCCTCAGCAACTTAGTGAGACCCAGTAGTCTTTAAAAAAAAAAAAAAAAAAAAGGCTGGGGATGTTGCTCAGTGGTTAAACACCCCTGGGTTTAAAAAAAAAAAAAAGATTGTCCCTGGCGTCTGGGGGCTCACAGACTAAAGAAGGGAAAAGGTCCTTTTAGGTATGGAAAGGCCAATGGTACTACATGGGAGCAGAGAGGAGGTCCTTGCCCTCTTTGGCAAGGGAGAGGGGTGGATATCTAGAAGGGCCTTCTGACCTGAATGGCAGGCAAATGATTGACAACTTCATGTGGTAATTAGGCAATTAACCTGGAAGTCCAGGTGAACTTATTAGAGGGTAAGGGAAATGAGGCTAGGGGCTCAAGCTTGTGCACCAGGCTAAGGAATTTAGGTCAAATCTAAAGGGCAGGGAAGAACCACTGAATGTTCAAGTGGAAACCAGCACATACATACTTGTAATCCTGATGATTCCAGAGGCTGAGGCAGGAGGATTGCAAATTCAAGGCCAGCCTGGGCAATTTAGCAAGACTCAGCCTGAAAAAATAAAAAGGCTTAGTGATAAAGTACCCCTGAATTTAGTCCCCAGTAATTTGTAGGGTCCATGAGTGAAGCAAAAGGCAAGGCAGCATCTCTAGCAGTGGCCTACCCAAGAGGATGTAAACCACCAGCTTCCTTTTGATTTTTAAGCATTTCTTGACAAGGCCATATTTTCCATTATTATTTTCCTTGTACTGGGGATTGAACCCTGGGGCACATTACCACTGAATTATGTCCCCAGGCCCCCCCCCCTTTTTTTTTAAGTTGTTGATAGACCTTTATTTTGTTTATTTATATGTGGTGATGAGAATCAAACCCAGTGCCTCACACATGCTATGCAAACGCTACATCCTCAGCCCCCCAGCTCTTTTTTAAATTTTTAGACTGAGTCTAAGTTGTCCAGGCTAGCCTCAGACTTTTGGTCCTTTTGTCTCAGCCTCCTGAGTTATAGATTATAGGCATATGCTACCATGCCCCAGCTCACTCAGCTGATTTCTTAACCCCTGTTTATTCACTGGGAATGAAGCTTGAGACATCCTACTGGTGGCCTCATCCAAAACCCTATTACTTCAGGGACCTGGGTTAGTTATGTACAAAAAGTGGTTCATGGTACGTGATGTATGCCCAACAAATGGCAGAAGCAACTCAAGGGCCCTTTGCACTTATACAAGTAGACCATCCACTGGCTGTGACAGTCCAAGCTAGAGGAACAGAGCCTCTTTCCCTTCTAGCCAAGGTCTTGATAAATGTTCTGTGCTGGCCACATTGGTTCCAAAGATCTCTGGAAGGGATGAGGGAATGCTGCTGCAACTCGTGGAATTTCCAAGCAAAGCATCTCTGCTATAATTGAGGCTTCTGAGGGTGGGAACTGCAGGGGAGCTCCTGTACCCTCTACACTTTCCTGGAGTAGCCCTAGCACCACTCTTGGCAGCTCTGGTAAGGGAGGAAAAGGACTTCATGTTGTCCTCTCTCCCTCTGACTCCCAATTATTGAAAAATCCCTGAAGTAATGACTCCCTTTCTAGAGTAGTCTTCAGAGTGCATACATCTGGGAATGAGCCTTCCACAGGTGCCTGCAGAAGCAGGGCCTCTCTCTTTAACTCAGCCAGATGCCTGGCCCAGGGCAGCTGCTCTTGCCCAGTGTGAGGGGGAAATGGACGTGGTGGCTGTGTGCACTGCCTTGGGCCAGTTGATTTGAGCCTGCTGGGCAGCCTAACAAGAATGAGCCTCTCCCATGTGGCATCAGATGCTGCCCTGGGGACCTGAGCCAGGATCCTCTGCCAGGACTTTAAATAGTTGCCCCATTGATGCAGGCTCCTCCAGGTGCTCAGGTTTCCCTTCTGAGCGTTGAAGTCAGATGCCAGGGAATGGAGTGGGCTTCTCTCGGACCTGGGGCTCCCCACACATATCTCCTAAGGCTGAGGGATGAGGAGGGGACCTGGCACTTGTCGGTGCCAGAATATAGCCCCACTGCTCACCACCCAGCAGGATCTGGGTGTGGTGGGGAGAGTGCTATTGCCCTGGAAATGACTAGTGTTTACTTTCCCTACAATGTGGACAGTGGCAATGATAGCGCAGGGTTGTTAGGAGTATTGAATAGACAGAAAATGCTTCCAGATTCTTGGATACTAACACGTTCTCCCTCTTCCAAGCCCTCCCTGCCTCCTCTTTACTTTCCGTCCCCCTTCCCCCTCTCCTGACAAAGCCACCACCATTTTGTAAGAGACTGTACCTTCCCTCCAAAACTGACAGAAAAGTATTCATTAAACCGTTATCACACAATCAACAGGGTCCCCTTAATTCGGGCAGGAGGTCAGGTGAGTGAGAGAATTGAGCTCAGTCAATTTGGGGACGCTCCTCCCAACTTGCTCCAACCCAAGCCCGAGAAGGTCACTTTCTCTTTAAATGCAAATCACTCCCGCCAGCTTAGCTCCCACCCGCTGGCGTTCCCGGGAGGAGCGTGCGGAGGGCGCCGGGCACCGGCCCTCCGGCAACGCTTGGGACCCCAAGCCTCCAGGTCGGTCGCCTTCGAGGAGGTGCGGGCGTGCAGGGCGGGCGCCGCGGGCTGCAGCTGCGTTTGGGGCTGGCTTCGGAGGCCGAGCGTGGGAAACGGAGCCTGGGTTGCCCCGGCCGCTCCCGGGTACGGGGGCTCCAGCTTCCGACCTCTCCTGTCCCTCACGGGGTCACCCCGCCGCAGCAAGAGGCGGACCCTGCGCCGGTCTTCCCTCCACCACGCCCAGACCCATTCGGCGCCCCGCCAGCCTCAGTGCTGTGACCTCGCCTCACCGCCCCAGAGAGAGGAGTCAGGCGGGTGGCAGCAGCGTGGAGGCAGCCGCCGCCAGAGGACCCCTAGAGCGGAGGCTCAGGTGGTGGGCCGGACTCCGCGGCTGAGCGGTGTCGGCCACTCTCGCGGCCATTGTTGGAGGCCCAGGCTGCCCGCTGCCTGACCACCCACCACAGGGACTTGGAGAAGGAGGAGCAGCTGGAAGCGGTCCCTGGGAACTTCTGGAGTCCCTGGCACTCGCGGTTGGGCGTGGGGTGGAAGAGGAGGGATGCCAGTGTAAAGCGGGAGCACAGCGAGCCCCGCCCCGTGGGCCCGGACTTCTGCCCATACCCATCCAGGGTCACTGCTGCTTGACACTAACTAGGGCCTTCCCAGGTGTCCCCGCCCCCACCCTGGTCACCTCTCAGGCCTACCGGGTTAGTCAGCGCCTGATAAACAGGGGCCCAGCTAGGACACTCCTAGTCTTTTGCTGTACTCCTGCCATCTCACGTCCACCCTGTCTTTCCTCTCCAGCCCCACCCTTTTAGCCAGAGGGACAGGAAACTCCAACAGCACAGGATAGCTTCCCGGTTTAGCCCCTTCAGACAGGGCCCAGGCAGAAAGGGTCTTATGGGCCTTGGAAGGTCCTTAAAATGCACATCCAGGATCCCAGCAACAGGCAGTGGCACCTGACCCTGCACAGACAAGGGAACAAAGACTCTGACATTTGTGAGAAAACAAGTTGGAAGGTCCCAGGGCCCTTCCTTTGCACCTCTCAGGGGTTGCTGGGTGAAGGGATGACTTTGACCCTCAGAATCTCAATGAGGTTGCTTCCTTCCCAGGCCTGAGGCTTACCAGCACCCAATGGATGACAAAAAGAAGAAAAGGAGTCCCAAGCCCTGCCTGACCCAGGCAGCCCAGGCCCCAGGCACACTACGCAGGGTCCCTGTGCCAACTAGCCACAGTGGCTCTTTGGCCCTGGGACTCCCTCATCTACCATCCCCCAAGCAGCGGGCCAAGTTCAAGAGGTGGGTACAGAAGGGATGCAGGGCAAGGAAGAAGGACTCTCAACTCTGGTTTGAGCCCTGTGGGGGAGGAAGGCAAAGGGGGCCATCAACCTTTAGCCACTAAGCAATAATGGGTGCCTTCCTTGGGGCTGGCTCCCGCTGACCCCTGAGCACTCAGAGATGACTTAGATCCAGTACCTATCCTCAAGTGTATATGGCAAAAAGGCCAGATGGATAACTGAGATCACATATTATGAGGCTGTACTTCTTGGGAGGGAGGGAGCAACCTGCCAGAGAGTCAGAGGAAGTTGCTGGATACACTGAAGAGGGAAGAATATTCTAGCTGAAAGCTTGCTTGGCCTAAAAATGAGAGAAAGATATTGCCACAGACTGTGAATTTAGCTCAGTAGTAGAGTGCTTGCCTAAGCATATGCAAGAGCCTGGGTTCCATTCCCAGTGTTTGTGGGTGGGGGAGATTGCCTAGAAGGTTCCAAGAACCACAGGTTCTTTGGGGGCCATGGAGTGTCAGGGAACAAGAAATGGTGAGGGGATACCAGGGTGCCCAATTTGAATTCTCTGCTGAATTTTTAAAAATGATTGGGAATTTGTTTCCTACCTTATAAAGTGTCCGTGTTTGTTCGCACCAAATACAATGTGTTCTTTCTCCAAATGTTCAAATCAAAATCACTGTGTTCCCCTGTGGCTTTGCATACCTCCTGCTTGAGAGGCATGTTTGGGAACAGCTACAGTGGGCTATAGCTGAAGCTCAGGACTGGACTGAGAATAATAGGAAATGCAGCCTTGAGAGGAAGGAAGGCCAGGTTGGCAAGGGCATTCAGTATTATCCCAAGGAAACAAAAAATTCAAAACAGTTTGTAGCCAGGAATGGTGGTGCGCGTCTGTAATCCCAGTGGCTCCGGAGGTTGAAGCAGGAGGATCGCAAATTCAAAGCCAGCCTCAGCAACTTAATGAGATCCTAAGACTCGTTGTCCTAAGACTTAGAGAGATCCTGTCTCAAAATAAAAAATAAAAAGGGGCTGGGGATGTGGCTCAGTGGTTAAGCACCTCTGAGTTTAATCCCTTGTACTAAAAAAAAAAAAATTAAAAAAAAAAAACAGTTTATAGAAGAGGGCAGAAGAAGTGGGGGTGGGGGGTAAGACAGTCTGGTGGCGATAAAGGAAAAGTTACACCCAAAATTACTGAAAGCCAAAGGGAACAAGTAACATGTTCAGAATCGCAGGAGACAGGAGGGTAACTGAAGCTCTCCGACAGAAATCCAGGAGTCCCTTGCAGGCATGGTTCTGGCTATGTCATTGGTAGAAAGACTTCTTTTTTGACCTCTTACCTTCTCCCTCCTCACTTATTCCCTTCCTTCTATCCATCCCAGTGTCCAAGCAGGGCCAGAACAAAAAACTTCTATTTGTGTTGATGAATGAATGGGCAGATGGTTTAGATAGATGGCACAGAAGATCCAGGAGCGCCTGGCTGTCCCCCATTCATGGTCATGTACACTCCATACAGAGTAGGCAAAGAGAAATGCCGCCCAGTACTGGCTGGAGGTGGGGGCGGCTCTGCAGGCACGCCCTTGCAGCACTCCTTCCTGACCGAGGTGACTGATGTCTATGAGATGGAGGGGGGTCTGCTGAATCTGCTCAATGATTTCCACTCCGGCAGGCTGCAAGCCTTCGGTGAGTCCTGGAGGCTGTGCAGAGAGGGGCTGTGGGTGGGGAGGGTGGTCCTGGTCTCTGTGGTGGGGCTGGAACAAGGTCCCAGGCTTACTGTCAGGGTTCCTGAGAATGAGGATTGCTCCCATTCCAGGGAAGGAATGCTCCTTCGAGCAATTGGAACATGTTCGAGAGATGCAGGAGAAGCTGGCCCGGCTGCACTTCAGCCTGGATGTGTGTGGGGAAGAGGAGGATGAGGAAGAGGAAGAGGACGGAGTCACGGAGGGGTTGCCTGAGGAGCAGAAGAAGACCATGGCGGACCGCAACCTGGACCAGCTGCTTAGCAATGTGAGTTGGGCACCTAGGATCCTGGGGACATCAAGGGTGGGGAAGATATCTGCTCCCAAGGTCCCTGGTGAAAAGATGGGGGTGCATGAATCCAACAGCAATAAGCCCCTCAGTTTCTATTAGATGAGGGTCCCCAGAGCATTCAGACTTTGTTCTAGTCCCATTCCTTATAGAAACCTTCTTTTCTCTATTGACAGCTGGAAGATCTTAGTAATTCTATGTATCCTTTCTAAGACTCCACAGTGTACATGTCTTGCAGATGAGGAAGGGATGAGGTGAGGTCAAGTTCCTCCTCCTCACCTCCCTCCCGGAGTGTGCACACATAACCAAATATCCCCACCCCTTTGCAGTCCTACTGAATCAGAATTAGCCACAAACAGCCCCTACCTGGGGGCAATGTAAAAAGAATTTCCCAACCCAAATATCAGGAGAAAGGTGAATGCAGGGATTATTTTTTTACCGATCAAAATCTTTGCAAGTACTTCAGCTGACACCAATGATGGCAAAGTGTGTCTGATGTCCTCCTGCCCTTTCGATATTGAACAATGTATTAATTTAGACTAATCCTCATTTAGCTCTGCAGAATGTGCATGCGTCCACATGAAGGCAGACACACACACACACACACACACACACACCCCACAGGTCCTCCGGTTCTTCTGACCTGCATGATCTGGAAGAAAAGAAAAAGGGGTAAGTGACCTAGCAAGAAGGGTAGGCAGGATGGGCTGCAAGGATATCTCAGGATAGATCACATGTTTGGCATGCATGAGCTCCTGGGTTCAGTCCCCAACACCATTCAGAAAAAGAAGGGCAGGTGGGGACTGAAACCTCAGACCATGGACAGCCCTTTGCACAGATGGGGAAAATAGACCCGTAGGGGATGTTTAGACTGATGAGAGGAACGACTGAAGTCGAAAGCATCACAATCCTTGACTGGCACAGACAGAAACTGCACCTGGCAGAGAATGCTGAGCCTGAGGAGCAGTCAGCTGCATAGGTGTAGTACCCAGGCCCACACTGCCTCTTTCATTCTCTTCAAACTGTGACTTCCCTTCGTGGTGGTGCACGCCTATAATTCCAGCTACATGAGAGACTGAGGCAGGAGGATCTCAAGTTCAAGACCAGCCTGTTACATTTAGACCCTGGCTCAAAATTAAATTTTTAATAAAGGAATGGGGGTGTAGGTCAGTGGCAGAGCGCTCACCTAGCATGTGCAAGGCCCTAGGTTTCAGCCCCAGGACCGGGAAAAAAAAAATGACTTTACGCAGCTCCCCAGGTGCTATGAAGTTGGGGACATTGGATGGAATTAAACCAAAAATAAAAAGTAAAAAAGTGGCTCCGTGTCTTCCTTCCCCTCCTTGCACCTTTCTTCTCAGAATAAAACAATCCTGTGCAGCACAGAGGGCTTGGAGTCCCCGCTCCGGCGGGAATTGGGATGAAGCTAGTGGCTCCAAGAGAATGAAAGGCCAGCCGGAGCGCTTGGCAGCCAGACGAATCTAAAGCAGGCTAGGTGAAGGTTGCCTTGGAGGCAGCGGGGCGGGGCCTCCATGCCTTAAACTGCGCATGCTCAGGAGCTGTGCTGCCAGAGGACGCACTGCGCAAGCGCTCGGCGGGGGACGTTAGCGTCCTGATGGAGACCGAATTGTTACTTCGGAAAGTGTCGGCCTTGCAGGTTCGGGGCAGAGGGGTGGTCGGGGTTGCACCTAGGGTCTCCTACTTTCAGTAGGGTGAGGCTGTCACGGTCAGTCCCTACCCAACCTCTGGAGATGCCAGCCCACCTCTGCAATTCACGAAGAATGCGGAGATCATGGACTTCCCTAAGCCCGCACCCCTGACCCGCACGAGCGTGTGGGTCAGGGGAAGATCCGGAAGCGTCTAAAAGCGAGGAGGAGAGTACAGCCCAGCGCCCACTGTCACCTGTCCTTTCCCCGTCGCCATGTCCATTTTTGCAGTCCCCGGGATAACCTCTCCAGAGAATACCCCAAGATATGTTCCCTCTTCTAATGTACCAAGGACTTTTAAGCAAAATATATTAGCAAAATTAAAAAATAAACTTCCAAGGGCGTTCTAACTCTCTTTCTCCACACCAGGCCTGTGTCAGGGGCTTCTTGGTTCGACGCCAGTTCCAGAGCCTGCGAGCTGAGTATGAGGCAATTGTACAAGAAATAGAAGGCGACTTGGGCACGCTTCAGTGGACTGCCGGCAGAATTCCCAGGCCTCTGTTTCTCCCAGAGGTAGTACACACCCCAGGGGGAGAAGGGAGAGTAAGGAAGACCTGGCAGGGAATTCAAAGGAGTGATAGAACCTACTCTTCCAGGTGACAGGCCTCTACCTTTGGAAGATACAGCAGACTGTTCCTCACACCCCAGTCCTTAATTAAGATCATGGTGCCAGGGGTTTAGCCCTGGGACTATCATACCTTTCTGGTTTCGCAGAAGGCAAAATCTCAACTCTCCTGGAAAGCAGGAAAGAGGATACCAAGTCCAGAGAAGAAACTATGCAGCCACTTTCCATATAAAGAGTCTGTGAAAGAGGCCCTCTGGGAGGAGATGGTGCTGAAGAAGTCAGGAGAGAGTTCAATAAACCCAGGAAGACTTCCCTGCAGAGATGACAACCTCTGGCTTCAGGTTGAGCAGAGCAGGAAATCCAGCCAAGAGGAAACAAATACATCAAGGATGAAGAACTCAGGTACCTCTCTGCCTAGATCAGGAAAAGTCCCTGATCTCTCAGGGCCTTAGCCTCCCAGTCTAAAAAGTAAAAGGGATGTGCCAGATTAGCTGCAACCCTTTTCTCCCTCCCTCCCCTGCCTAGTTGAAGGAAACACATGAGCAGTGAGGGGTTGCCAAGGTCTGGGGCTAAACCAGCTTCCAGTGTCTATAGCTCAATGCATTCTCCTTCCTGTCTTGCCTCCTTCAAAGAAGCCACAGGTCCAGGACCATCCCATAGCCAGCATGAGATCCAAGAGCTCCAGTATCACCGCAGCCATTTGGCCATGGAACTGCTGTGGATACAACAGGCCATCAACAGTCGCAAGGAGGTAGGCACTAACTTTTGGAACAGACGAAGGGTTAGGAGTTAGGGCCTGTGTAAGCAGGCCAACATGTTACAGTATTGTTCTCTCCCAACAGTACCTAATTCTCAAACAAACACTGAGATCCCCAGAAGCAGGCCAGACCACAGATGAGCCCAGCATGTGCACAGACCATGGGGGACTGGCCTGTGAGAAAGCCTGGTCACAACCAAACCCACTGCTGAAGGACCAGTTCTGCAGAGAGAGGACTGCTGGAGAGCTGGACCATGCAGATGATTCCTGCCAAAAAGGCAAATCACAACTCCTTAAGTACCCAGAAAGTCTGGCCACTGTAGACAAAATCACTGCTGGGGCTAAGGGCAGGGAATTGTGCTATAGGAGGGTTGGACCACAGCTGCCTACGCCATCAGACAGCCAGGCTGGAAGGGACAGGTTCACCAAAGGACAAAACCATGAAGGACAGAGCTTTAAAGGGGCCTGCCTACAGCAGACAAAATTCCTAGAGGACCAGATCCTGAGGGGCCTCAAACCTAGAAGCCCCAGTTCTGGGAAGGCCAGAAGACAGCTGCCCGCATTGTGAGGACCCAGATATTGAGAACAAGTCTCCCAGAGACCAAACCACAAAAAAAACTTGACTACCAAACAGCAGGCCACAAGCTATGACCTCTCCAAGGACCACACACATCATTTGTTATGGGACCATGGCAGGACCAAAGCATGGTGCCCTATATTTCAGGAGGATTCAAATGTCAAAGGGCCAGGGCCCCATGGCAGAAGTTCCATAGTTGGAACCTCCAATAAGCCTAGTCATGAAGGCTGGAAAAGCTAGAGGACTGTACTGTGGAGCTCAAGGACACCTGAGACCCTATCTTCCACAAGATTAGACCAGAAAGGAGAGGACCAGTGGAGGGACAGGCTATGGAAGGCAGGACCACCGAGCTAGATCCTGAGGAGCTAGAAGAGGAACAGTTTCCAAAGAGGTTTGCTATGCCAAGGCTGTGGTGAAGATAGGCCTTCATCTGCCTCCCCTGCCCTCGTCCCCAGCCGTCAATGGCTAGTGGGGCCAACGGAGATTGGAGCAGAGACTAGAGGCATAGTGCAGGGCAAAGGACACCTTTTCATCCTCAGCTTTTGGCTCAATCCAAATTTCAGGTTAAGGATTAGCTATATGGGGAAAGATAAGTGGGAGGCCTGGAAGAGAATAAAAATTTTTCTTGGATTTTGAGCCTGGCTGCTTTCATCCCTCCTGTTCACTTCCTGTCATGGGGTGAGTGTCAATCCCAGAACCAGCTGGGAGCCTCAGCCCAGGGGCAGATCTGAGGGCAGATCTTCCTTGGGGAATAGTTCCCAACCTGATCCTCACTTGAGCTCAACTGTTAGGCTTCAGAGTGGAAAAGGCTCTGGAAAGTACTGGAACACTGTATTTAAGTAGGATCTCTGCTGTCCTCTCTTACTGAGCTGAGCCCCAGGGTCTTTTTTCACACATTGATCATACCTGTCCTATTCTTGTGAGGGCCTATCAGTGAGATTGGCTAAGATTGTGAATGCAGAAAAATGCCCCTACCAGAGGCTCTCCCTGAAAGGGCAGGACTCCACCTCTCATTGGCATAGCTCTTAGTTGCCTGGCAACAGTTCTGTGTCTCTTGACGGAGGACACACTATGGCAGGTGGAAGTTCAGGAGCCAAGAGGATAGTGGTATACCGAAATGGGGATCCCCACTCCCCAGGCCGCCAGCTGGTGGTGACCCAACGCCGTTTCCCCACCATGGAGGCCTTCTTTTATGAGGTGACATCAGCCGTGCAGGCCCCACTAGCTGTGCGTGCCCTCTATACACCTTTTCATGGCCACCCTGTCACCGACCTGGCAGAACTGCAAAATGGAGGGCAGTATGTGGCTGCTGGCTTTGAAAGATTTCGCAAACTCCAGTAAGTAGGCTGAGCCTGGTCAAAGAGCCTAGGAGAGAGGCAGTAGCAGGAACAATAGTGAGTCTGGTATTTACTATGTAGTTACCAGCTTTATGTATTTTGTTACTTAAACAGGGAGGGGAGAAATAGTGAACATCTGCCTAAGTACGTGAGCAACAAGTGGTTGAGCTATAATTTAGATTGGATTTTGTCTGGTACTAGGGCCCATGCCCACCACAATCAGGACCATGGGAAGGAGACTATTCTGCAATTTGAACTTTTTTGTAAAAGATCTTGATTAGATCCCCTCCCACCACCATCACCATTACTCTAAATCTGATGACACTTCCTCTCTCCCTGCTATCTATCCCAACCTTTCAGGTAGGCTAGGATCATCCCTCTCTGCAGAGTGGGCCACCTTCCAAGGTGGGAAAAGAATTTTAAGTTATCTGACTTTCCAGTCCAGATCTGGCTTCCACATCCTACTCTGAGCTCTTAGCTGAGGTTGCTTACTACAATGGAGAGAACAAGGGTTTGGGAGCTAGACAGAGTCTTAGTCACTTCCTGTGTAACCTTGGGTAAGTCACTTAGCTTCTCTTGAATTCATACAAAATGTAGATTAAGCCATCTACTTCATGAATGTAAAAATTCCTGATATAGTAGGATATTTAATGTCCTCTTTTCTCTCAATCTTTAACGCTATTGCCAATAATCCTAGTCTGAATTTCCAGCCTGACTTGGCATTTAAAGAATTCTAAGGTAGGTTCAAGTACCAGCATCTGTTTCTGACCTGAGTACGCTGAGAAACTGTCCTTGTGGGAAGAGGTACCTGGTGAGCTGTGCCCCAGCCCATGCTCTGGCAGTTACTGGGTTGTTGAAGCACCAGACTCCCCAAGATGACCTTCATCCAATGTCTTTTCAGCTATTTACCCCCTGGAGGGAAGGATCCAGGTGGGAAGAGCAGCAGACTACAAGTGAGTACTGGGGGAGGCTGTCCCCCAGCCCCTCTGCCCTCCCAGCCCTCCTAGGTAGGATTTGGGATTGCTCCAAATTGCTCTGGGAAGTCAGAGACCCTGGAAACAGCAAGAGCTGCAGGTTCCTTGGAGGACACTCTCCACTCCCACTCTGGAGCTTGCTGCTCTCCTTGGGGTATGGAATTTCAAGACACTATCCCCTGGTCCTGTGTGGTTCCCAAAGGAAAGAGGAAACTGTGAAATACACATGGGGGTAGGGGATGGTTAGAGTGACTTAGGGGATCTAAAAGCACCCTTTAGTGAAAGGGCCCCCTCCTTGCCTCCTTCCCTGTAGGAGTCTGTTTCCTTCCTGCTCACTACACTGTTCTTGGGCTGACTCATCCCTAACCAAATACCTCTCTCCTGATTTGGGGATCTGACTTGGGTTTCAGGATCCTCTCATGACTGGCCACCCGTGTGACTGGGCCCTTGGACAGTGGCTGCCTGCAGGCATTCCCTTCTATATCCAGTGAGTCCAGCATCAGAGAGCAGGGGTATAGAGAAAATGGGTATGTCTGTTCCAGGAGCTTTTGATTACCAGTGGAAGAATAAAAGGTCCAACATGCCAGGTGTGGTAATCTCAGTAGCTTGGGAAGCCATGGCAGGAGATCATGAGTTTAAAGCCAGGCCCTAAGCAACTCATCTGTCTCTAAATAAAATACAAAAAAGGGCTGGGGATGCTGCCCCATGGTTAAGCACCCCGGGTCAATCCTGGATACAAAAAAAAAAAAAAAAAAAATGTCCAACATGTTTGATGGGTGGAATTGGATCAGTACAGTGGTTCTCAAACCATCTTCTGGCACCTGTGCCATCCTTCTCACATGAAGGGAGTCCCAGGTCCCTCCCTCTCACCAGGTGGTTCTTTGTCTCAGTGTGTTTAGGAATGGGGATCTGCTAAGTCCTCCATTCAATCTGAAGGTGTCCCAGGCTGCCATTCAGGACTGGGAAACTATGTTGAAGCTCCTGACTGACAAGGCCAAGTTACAGAATGGGGCTGTGCATAAGTGAGTATGGCGCCTGGGGAAACCCAAAAGTCTCATGAGAGTCTCCTTACTGAGTTCAGCTGTTCCTGAGGATGAAACGGCAAAAGGAGAATGTTCCCTCCAGCAGGACTTCCTCCTGTGCCATAAGAAGTGGTCTCTCTGGCCCAGCCCTCAGAACCAAGGCAGAGCCTAGGTCTGAGGGCCAGAGGCCAGAGGGTACCTGCCCCCTCACTGCCTGCTGACTGTGAAGAGGCAGTCTGTCTGCAGGTCCTTATCTGCTCACCTCTCCCCCAGACTCTGCACCCTGGAGGGGTTCACACTGTCATCGGTGGAGGCTCTGGTGAATGGCCATTACTATGTGGCTGTTGGAAAGGATGAATTCAAGGCCCTTCCCTATCTGGAGCTGCTGGTGCCCAGTCCCTCCCTGCCCAGGGGCTGCTGGTATGTATGTGGTTGCAGCAGAGAAAGGTGCCCTCTGGTGAGCGTGCTGACTCCATGTCCTCTGCCCACACAAGCCTTTTCCTTCTTTCATTGTAGGTATCCTCCAGGCCTGAAGTATAGACCCCACAGGCAGAGGGTAGGTGATCCACAGGGCATGGGGGTGGGAATGAAGTGGAGAACTCTGATAAATTTGAACTCTGACCTTATGTCACTGCATCCTTTCAATAATCTCGTGAAACAGATTATCACCTTTTTCCAGAGGTGGAAACTGAAGTTCATAGGAGTAAAATGATTTGTTCAGGGTGACACAGTTATTAAGTGGCACAGGCCAGACCAGAACTGATCTTCAAGGTGAAGTTGTAGACCTAATGCCTTCTTTTTTTTTTTTACCATACAAATTATTTTTATTTTTTTTTAGTCATACATGACAGCAGAATGTATTTTGACATATAATACATACATGGAATGTACATACATCAATCATATTGTCTATTCTATTCTGCTGCCCTTCCTATCCTCCCTACTCCTCCCCTCCTCTCCCATCCTTTCTCTCTAATGTGTCACAACATCATATATGTATTCTGTATAACAATGAGGTTCTCCTTCCATCTTCCGTGCAACTCCCCTTCTCCCTCTTTTTCCCTCCCACCTCTCTTCCCTATTTAGTGGTAGTCTTCTTCTCATGCTCTTCCTCTCTATCCCATTTTGAGTCACCCCCCTTATATCAGAGAAGACATTCGGCATTTGTTTTTTAGGGATTGGCTAACTTCACTTAGCATAATCTGCTCTAATCCCATCCATTTGCCTGCAAATGCCATGATCTTGTTATTTTTTAGTGCTGAGTAATATTCCATTGTGTATAAATGCCACATTTTTTTAATCCATTCATCTATTGAAGGGCCTGATGCCTTCTTGATAGGTTGGATGCTGGGAGACAGAACTGGCATTCTTTGCATAGCAGTGCCCTGGGAACCTCAGCTCCCCATCCTATTACAGGTCTGAGCCCTCCGAAGATATGAGCCAGTGAGAATGAAGTCCAAGTATAGTTTGGTTTCACTGGGTATCTTCGAGTGCTAGGCACCAGCTGTTCTGTTCCTGGATAGGCAGTCTGGTGGGAAGAAGGGGCAGGAAGGGAGGATGCAGACTGTGAAGGTAGATGGCACTGCCTCTCCCAAGCTCCCACAGGCCTCATGACATGCTGAAGCCTAGACTGGGGAATAAGAAAGGTGAGACAAGCCAGAAACCAGGGTCTGAGCCCAGTGTTCTTTCTGTAGGACCAGGGCCTCAGGACACAGGTCACTCTTCCCTTTCCAAAGGAACCAGCACAAATTGAACCATCTGTTTTCTATGCCAGACCCCAGCAGAACATTCAGCCAAGAAGCAAGCTCCCCACTCTCTTGTTTCCATCAGGTGAGGGGCCTCTGTGGACCAAGCCTTTCTCAGCCAATCACCCCTCTTTTTTTCCCGTGCTGGGGACTGATGTTGTGGTTTTGATTTTGGTAATAGGGACTAAACCCAGGGGTGCTTAACTACTGAGCAATAACCGAGCTCTTTTATTATTTTTATTTTTTGAGACAGGCCCCTGGGCCTACAGTTGCTTAGGGCCTCTCTAAGTTGCTGAGGCTGGCCTTGAACTTGCAATCTTCCTTCCTCAGCCTCCTGAGTCACTAGGATTACAGGTGTGTGCCAGCCACTGTGCCCAGCCAGTACTGGGGATTGAAACCCATTCAATGGGTCTTAAGCATTCTAGGCAGACACTTTACGCAGCCACCCTTTGACAGTGACACAGGATGGTACCTGCTATTGTTGGGGATATCTGTTGGGGCAGAATGCCCAGGTATAGAGCTGGCTCTGACCTCAGCATAATTATCTTCTACTCTCCCATTTGCATGTCCAGTCTCTTGCTTTTTCTTAGGGTCTTATCATATGAAAAGAAGCACATGGAAAGGGCAATGCTTATCTCAAAATGATTCAGGGGTGGGCTTTACAAGGGCTGGGGCTGGGATTAAAAGCCTGCCTCTCAACTTCCCTGCCATCCTCTGAAGTAGTGGGGAATGTGGAGCAAGCAGGGGAGGGGAAAGAGTATAGAGGTCAAGGGAAAGAAGGCCAAGGACTCTGAAGTCTGGGCATCAGTCAATTTTACCTCCCTCATTAGGAGTTAAGGGAATATACAGGGCTCCTCACCCAAGGAGGGAGACAACAGGGGCCCAGGACGTAGCAGACGATGAAGACACCTGGACAGAGCGGCCCTTGGACCAGGTAAACTCCAGGATCAGAAAGCCATACTTGGAGATGGGTGTTTAGAGCTAGAAACTGGCAGTTCTGAGTCCCAGGAACAGGTCCTCCCTTTGTGACTGTAAGACCTTCTAACATCCTAAAGCTTGACTTTCTCCCTCATTAAACGAAGAAGCTGGGCACGGTGGCACATGCCTGTAATCCCAGCAGCTCAAGAGGCTAAGGCAGGAGGATCGGAAGTTCAAAGCCAGCCTTATCAACTTAGCAAGGCCCAAGCAACTCAGCGAGACCGTTTCCAAATAAAATTCAAAAAAGGGCTGGGAATGTGGCTCAATGGTTGAGTGTCCCTGGGTTCAATCCCCAGTACCAAAAATAAAAAAAATAAAAAATTGTTCTTTTTTTGTTTTTGCTACCCGGAATTGAACCCAGGGGTGCTTAACCACTGAGCCACATCCCCAACCCTTTTTAATTTTTGGTTTGGAGACAGGTTCTTACTAAGCTTGAGGCTGCCTTTGAAGTGGGAATCCTCCTGCCTCAGCCTCCAGTCTGCAGGGATTACAGGCTTGTGCCACCATGCCTAGCTGGAGTTCTTTTTTTTTTTTTTTTAACATTTATTTTTTAGTATTTGGCGGACACAACATCTTTGTTTGTATGTGGTGCTGAGAATCGAACCCGGGCCGCACGCATGCCAGGCGAGCGCGCTACCACTTGAGCCACATCCCCAGCCCGTGGAGTTCTTAATTTCTAGTCTTTTCTGGGGAGGGGGGTTTCCTGCAGGGGCCTAGAGGCTGGACACATTGCATGGCTCCATTCTGTACTTATCATCATTTCCTCCAGAGAGCAGCACAAACAGTGGAGGAGGCCCTGTCCTTGGAACACAAGTCTGGGGCTAGACTGCATCCTCAGCCTTAGCCATTGCACCATCTTGAGAGCCAAAGCTCTAAAGAGAAACAGGAAGACAGCAGTTGGGTAGACACCTTTTGTCTTCAGCCTGTTCCTGATAATCAACGTCTCCCCTGTGCTTTATAGGGATGTGGTTTCCTCAACCCCTTCCCATTCTTCTTCTAAGCTTATAGCCCAGTCTTCTTTCTCCTCAGCAGAGCAGCCCTAGCTGTGGAGGCTGTTTTCTTATGGGATTCTCTGTCCAGAGAAAGGAGTAGCTGATTGAGCTTGGCAAGCGACCACAAATGTGAGAGTAGATTTGTCACAATAAAAGAATATTTAACTAACCTGTTTAGCACAGATTTATTGAAGGCTGCTACTGGCCAGGTATTGTACTGGATACTACAGTTAGGTGATGCTGGGGCTCAGTTGTCTACCTGTCTTGAGAGGGGCTGGCAGGTAAGCATTTCTGCCCACCTCATAGGTGGGAAAGGCAAGGCTAATGGAGTTCATACGTCCTATATCTACATTCTGATGCACCCTCTTCTCCTCAGTTGCTCCCCCAAGTCACCAAGGCACTGAGCGCTGGAGGTATCCCAGTCACATTTCTGGCTTCGAGACTGCATCACGGCAGCTGGTCTTTTCCATGTAGCTGGGCCTCTGCAGTCCATGTAATCTGCCACCATGATGGTCCAGAGCAGGCCAGGGTAACAGTGGTTGGGTAATAATGACCTGAGATTTTAGCAGAAGAGCTGTTGAGGCAGAGAGCTGCTGAGGGTGAGTATGAAGTGTCCCATGCAAAATCCCAACAGCTGAACACCACTTGAAGATTACAAAACCCTTTTACTGCTGTTCTCTTACTGTGATCCACGAGGTAGCTATTATCCCCATAAGAGATGAGGAAACTGAGGCTCAGAGAGGGCAAGTTCTTGGTCCATCTGCTCATTGCCTGCACCTTGGCCCAGGGGTTTCCTGGAGATAGCAGAGCTGGAAGCTGGGGTTGGTCCACTCAAAAGGTAGATGGTGGCCTCTGGGTCTTGTTCACTGAGCTTGTGATACAAAGTGCAATTCCTGTCATGGTGAGCACCATGCCAGCGACTGCTCCTAGGATAGTGGCAGAAATCAAGGGGCTCTGAGCCTAGCATGCTAGCAAGAAGGAGCTGGTACAGGGCTGGGGAAAGGGTTCATACGGGGCCCAGTCCCAGCTGCCACCCCCAGCCTCTTGTCTCCAGACTACTTAGGGTTAGGAAACAACTGATGGCCACGAGGAAGCAGGAGAGCTGCGAAGAAAAGGCATGATGGGAGAAAGCCCTCCTCTCTAACCCATGGGAGATGGACTGGGAAAGAACTGACCCAGGTACATCAAGGCCCAAGCAGCTGCTTCCTACATTCCCAATAGCATGACTTACCTTTTCCACCAATATCTTCTCCAAGGACCTTCCCAACAATCAGCGTGAAGACAATGGCCAGAGAGTTACAGATGGGCACAGCTAGGGTCAGATCTGGGTAGTCAAAATGAGAAGAAGTGCTGAGATGCAAAATGTCTTATCACATTAGGGACAAAAAAGGGGGGGGGACGGGGGAGCAAGAAGCTTAGTGCAATGGAAGACCAAGGGTGTTGAGGGAGGCAGACCTTGGTTCTCAGTATAATCTTGGTTATATATTTAAACCCTCTGAGCCTATTTTCCACATGTAAAACAGTGATAGCAAGATACCACTGTTGGTATTTTTTTGCAGGGATATTGTAAGATAAACTATGATAATGCACATATAGTCCCTGGCTGAAGTGGATGCTTAATAAAAATAGTCACTACTATTTTGATTATTAGAATAGGTGGATATTAAAGGATGGATACAGAGTAGGTGACAAGATAATAAAATTCTAAAATTATAATTTGCTCAAAACTTGGTGAACTGCATGCCAGGTGGCATAAGGTTCAACACTGTTTTGCAGCAATTAATACATCAGGCCAGAGGCTTAAATAGTCTTATGAGCAGCTATTCCTAAATGTAAAATAGATCAAAGTGGAATGACAAGTTGAAACCGTGTGGCAGGAAAGTGGCTACCTTGTCCCTCATCTTCCCATGGCCCTTGAGGGGTTCCCTGGAACTAATTGGGGCCTAATCTTTCCTGGAGTCCCTGGAGGGTCTTGACTCCAGGGGAGGAAACCCACAGAAGTAAAATTCAAAAGCATAAATTTTAATATGTAGCTACAAATCCTTTTGCACTGTCATGCTGTGAGACTAAGAGGGGTGAAATAAATTGTTCAAAGTTTTGTAATATTCTATATGATGACAATCATGTCTGCTTCACAGGGTGATGATGGGACTTAAATGAAATATGCAACACCAGTAAAGTATCTGATGCAGTAGAGGGCAGTCAACAAATGTTGGGAGAAAAGAAATTTGTATTTATTGTGCCAGGCACTCTGCTATGTTTCCCATATATCGAATTTAATCTTCACAATGCTAGGAATCCAGCTATAAAACACCAAGGTTCAAATAAGGGACTTGTTCTAGGTCAGGCAGGTAGCACACACTGGAAGCAAAAGGGACATAGTCAGCATTTGGCACAACAAAATGAATTTTCCATCTTCCTCTGCTATTGCACAAGACTGCCAGGCTCCAGATCCACCTCAGTGCCTGGCCATTTCTCAACCAGTCCACTGTGCCTCTGCCCTCAGGGGAGGCTACCAAGAAGGGAACAGTAAAGTGCTCTCCCTCGCTGAAGGGAAACAAGGTGTTTCAGGTTCCCTCCCCAAAACAACTTTCCCAGGTGGCCTCCACCACTAAGCAGGGCAGCCGTACACTAGAGACCCACCTGTTGATGCCAGGGTGAAGTAGTAGAGAAGGGAGCCACACTGGTTGAGGAGAAAGGGCACCAGGTACTGGAAATAGGAGAAAACTGACATCAGTGTAATTGCCTGAGTAGCACTGCCTTCTTTGAGCTTCTAGAAATATCCAAGGAACACTAAGCACTCTGAGAAGGACCCAGGGCAAAGACAGACATAAACTGAACTCCACATCTTTGCTCTTAAATGCCCTTTCCTTTAGCTTGACTACTTCCCATCCGGTATTTTTTTTTTTTTTTTTTTTTTTTGGTACTAGGGATTGAACTCAGGGGCACTGGGTCACTGAGCCACATCCCCAGCCCTATTTTCTATTATATTTAGAGACAAGATCTCACTGAGCCTCACTTTTGCTGAGGCTGGCTTTGAACTTGTGATCCTCCTCCTCAGCCTCCTGAGCTGCTGGGATTACAGGCGTGAGCCACCATCACGGCTCCATTCTGTAAGGTCTTTAGTGCCAATATTACCCCCTTCAGAAAGCCTACCATAAGTCTCCCTCCTCTAAACTTATGCAACACTTTTATCTGTATCCCTCTCCTGGCCCTTAACCCTGAGAATTGGTGGTGTCCATGTGTTCTTTCCCAGTAGCCTTGACTAGCAGACTTGGGGTCAGAAGTAGTTCGCCATATCCCTTTTTGTTTTCCACCCCAAGGGCCAATTTGAGCCCCAAGCTCTCCCTCTGGAAAGACTTGCAAGTTCTTCATATAATTGGAGAGAACACAATAATACAATACTAACAGCATCCATGGATGGAACACTTTTGATGTACTAGGTCCAATGCTAAGTGTGTCTTACTTCAATCCTCATAACTGCCCTATGATTATCATAGTTTCCATTTTACAGATGACAAAACTGAGGCTCACAGAGGACAAGTGACTCCTCCAAGAGCTGCTTGGGAGTGATGGGGCTGGGATTCTCACCCAGACCTATTTGACTCCAGAGACCAAATATTTAGCGGCCACTCTTCCGTGAGAGGGGCTGTTCAGAGACGCACCTCAAAATTCAAGAAAAGGGTCTTCATCTCCTGCAGCAACTGCCGGACCCAGGTCCGCTCATGAACCTGCTGAAGGCCGGCGGAGGCCCGCTTCAGCAGCGGCTGCGTGCCACCCCACAAAGCGGCCACGAGCACCAGAGCCAGCACCTGCCCTAAATACAGATGGACGGAGAGTCACCCTGACCGCCAGCCCCACTGGCTGCCCGCTGGGCCTCAGGCTCCTAGCCCCAGATAGCCTTCCGCACAGCTCCTTGGCTCTCCGAGGCCCCGGGCTGCGCTCGACGGGGAGGACAGGCCTTGGGAAGCGGGGGAGATGGACTCAGGAGCCCGAGGACTGGAGTCGTAGCAGGGTTCGGGGTGGAGGGGAGTAGGAAATAAACTGCGGGTGGGGATCAGAAAGTGCGTTGACGGGCGGAGCCCACTACCCACCCAGAGACGCCGCCATGGCAACGCCGCTCTCATCTACTTCCGGGAGCGAGGGGGTGGAGACGAGAGAACGGAACTGGTTCCAAGCCTCTTCCGGTCCTGCTCACGCCTCGCTCTCCTCGCGTCACCGCCGGGATGGTGAGTTCCGCAGAGTTGGGGGTGTTGTGGTGGGGGTCCCGGGCCCGGAAGAGGTCCGGTTCCGGGCGCTGACACTCTTGTCCTGTCCCTGCAGAAGCCGATCCTGCTGCAGGGCCATGAGCGGTCCATTACGCAGATTAAGTACAACCGCGAGGGAGACCTCCTCTTCACCGTGGCCAAGGACCCTGTGAGAGCCGGCGTCCGGGCGGGCGGGACAGGCGGAGGGGGCCCCCCCAAGGGCGAATTCCTTCTGCCCGGACCCTGGGTGGACGATCCAGTTTTACTGCCAGACGGGAACCTAAGAACGTCCCATTCTAAAAAGTAGGGAGATGCCATCCCGGGGTAGGTTGATGAGGGCATTCTATCTAGGAAGGTAGGAAGGAGTTCGACTCTTGGTAGAGATGAATAACTGGGGAGAAGAAAAACAAGAGACCACTGTGGATGGGGAACAGGGACAAGGATCAACTTGATAGAACAAGTCACGTCCAGTAGGATAAAGAATCATGGAATGTATCTCAGTGGTAGAATTAGTGCTTAGCATAAGATGCTGGCTTCAATCCCCAGTATCACGAAAATTAACGAAGAAGAAGAAGAAATTTTAAAAAGACACGGGTCTTAATGAAGATGCCCCTAGTCTCAATCCAATCAGTCCCATCTGCTACTCAGTGTACAATCTCACAGTACTGCCATCTACATATAGAGGCAGTTAACAGTGAGGGCATTGAAGTCAAACTGATTTAATTTGAATACTAATCCCTGCATCTACTAGCAGTGTTACTTTATGCATGTCAGTTAATCATTCTAAACAAGTTTTCCTTCTTATAAAGTATGGGGACCTTTAGGGCTGGGATCTAGCTCAACACAGCAAAGTCTCCCATATGGGAAGCCCTGGGTTCACACACCCCTCCTGTTACAAAAAAGAAAAGAAAAAAATATATAAATATGGGGACTTATAGTACCTCCTTAACCAGATGAGATCGTTCTCATAAAGAGCTTGGCACAGTTCTTCGCGCATAGGAGTACCTAATTAATATTATCACTTACATATAAGTTCCATAGACATCATTTCATTGGAGTCTCCTCTTTAAAGAAGGCATTATTGTTCTGACTATTTTAAAGATGGAGAAGCTGAAGTTAAGAGGGATGAAGCACCATATTTGAGATCATACCATGAGATAGTGACAGAGCAGGCACTGGAATCCAGACTTCCCTACTACAAATTCCTCCCACTTGGACAGATCACCAGAGCTACTATTTATTTGGACTGGAGTACAACTTAATCTTTTATTCTTCTAAGAGATTCTGAATCCAGGAGAGGACAGGCCCAGCAAATAAGGATGCTTTTCCAAATTTGACTTCCCTGCTATTTACATTCGGGTAGGGAGGAGAATCTAGGAATTTTACCACTTTCTTGCCCAAGAAATCGGCAGGCTAGAGATTGAGGAGGGTTCCTGGGGCAAAATAGAAGGCCATTGCTATTCCTGGGGTGTGAACCATCCTGTCATTTGGCTCCTCCAGATTGTCAATGTATGGTACTCTGTGAACGGGGAGAGACTGGGCACCTACATGGGCCATACTGGTGCTGTGTGGTGCGTAGATGCTGACTGTATCCTTGTTTTACTCTGAGGCTGTGCTTCAGGCTCTGCCGGCAGAAGAGTTGCTGAGTTGAAGGTGGGAGTTTGGGGTGCTGGTGTGGGTCTGTAGAATAATACCTCCTGCTCCCAGTCTCTTCACTGGTTGGGGAAACATTTAGGACAAGTTCCACTTCTGGATGAGGAGGTTAGAGTGCCCTGAGTTAAGAGGAAGAAAGGCTCTTTGGGACTGAACTGGGAGATGATTCGGTTGGCTTCCCAAGGGCTCCGGTAAACTCAGTCAAGTTTCTTAACATCCTCTTCAGGGGACACCAAACATGTCCTCACTGGCTCAGCTGACAACAGCTGTCGTCTCTGGGACTGTGAAACAGGTAAGCTTCAGTCATTTACTCTTTTCAGCAAAAATTGACCACCTTTAGTGTACCTCTGTAAGTAAACAGAGATTCTAGGAGAATGCAAAATAAATCTAGAGATGGTTCCCAGTCTGGAGAATAAGACAATAAGAAAGGTAGAGGAGCAAGAAGTATTACAGCAATGTAATAAGCCATGAGAGAGGAAATAAACTACTGTGGAAGGCCAAGGGGAGCAGCTGACTGCCTAGAGCAAGGGTGGGAGCCCTGCAAGGTCTCCCAAGGTAAGTGACATGTGAGCTGGGGCTTAAAGGAAGAGAAAGACAACATCACTTTGGCACATGCAGGAATGAAAGTATGGAGACTGTCGTGTCATTTGATCTGGTTGATGTCCTGTTTTGGGTGAGTGGAATAGATAGGCAGGAGAGAAGATGAGGCTGGAGAGGCAGTTTAGGCCAAAAGAGTCCTTGGGTGCCAAATTCAGGAGCTTAGCTTTGTTCTATGGGGCTTGGGAGGAATTTGGCCTGCTGCGGAGGCCATTGCAGGGAAGAGTGGCAGTCTGGTTAGTTTTAGCAGGGTCCTGGAGCAGTGGGAAAGCTGACCCTGAAGATAGGGGAGCATATTCAACTCATTCATATTTAAGTTATCCAAGCCAGGTAGGTAAGAGCTGGGCCCAGGGCTGGGGTTGCGGTGAAGGGTCCAGCTTCAGTGTATGTATATACTGGCATCCAGTTCTATGCTGGGCACTAGGGAGATCCAGAGAATCAGACCAGGTCCATTCTGTGGAGTAGCAAAGTTTGTGGGGGAGACAGACTGTAAACCATTATGAGCAGTGCCACGTTAGCAGGATGTGTAAGGAAGAAGTGTAAAGATTTGAACAAAAGCACAGCAGTGAAGAAGAGAGCAGTGAGAATAGGGTCACCAGAGCAGGAGCAACAGTGAGGCATGATGACAGGCAGGCAGATAGATGATAGACAGGTCCTCCCTGCAGTGATAATGGACAAGTTGTAGCCCAGACCCTGCCTCTCTCCAGGGAAGCAGCTGGCCCTACTCAAGACCAACTCAGCCGTCCGCACCTGTGGTTTTGATTTTGGGGGCAACATCATCATGTTCTCCACGGACAAGCAGATGGGCTATCAGTGCTTTGTGAGCTTCTTTGACCTGCGGGATCCAAGCCAGATTGGTGAGGGCTCGGGCTCAGCTGGGGGCCTGGGTTGGTTTGAGGTGAAAGGCCAGCTCCTGAGGCTGGAGCTGGACATCTGCTGCCCCCTACAGACAACAATGAGCCCTACATGAAGATCCCTTGCAATGACTCCAAGATCACCAGTGCAGTTTGGGGACCTCTGGGAGAGTGCATCATTGCAGGCCATGAAAGTGGAGAGCTCAACCAGTATAGTGCCAAGGTAAGAGGTCAAGTGGAGCCTGAGCCCACCAGAATTATTTCTTCAAGAGGAAGTCAGGGCTAGGGATATGGCTCAGTTGGTAGAGTGTTTGCCTTGCATGCACAAGACCCTGGGTTCAATCCCCAGCACCCCCCCCCCCCAAAAAAAAAAGAGGAGGTTAGCACAATGATTAAGAGCAAGGGCTGGATACAGATATAGAATTCATCACTTTCTAGTTGGGTGGTCTTGGGCAATTTACATAACTTCCCTGAGTCTGTTTATCTTAAATGTCTCAAGGATCAAATTACATCAGATTTTGAAAAAGTTGTCAGAGTACTCAGGACATGTTAATAATGATGACAAATAAGTATTTTCCTGCCACCACAGAGCTAGGCCCTATGCTAGACTCCTAGGCAAAGAAGTGAGTCAGTCATTGTCTCTACTCCAGGGGGACAGAAACTTGCAATCATCTGGCATATGAGTTAGATTGAATTGTGCCATCATAAAGGTTTCAACCAAGTATGGAAGGTGTACTGTGTCACAGAGGAGGTGGCACATACACTACCTTGTGAAGAATAAGAGGAACTTCAAACAGGAAGCATAGACTATTCCAAAGACAAAAGAAGTGGCAAGAACAAAGGCCCAGAGTTAAGGAAGTACATGGATTCTTAGGGAATCACTGGTGTAGGAGAACTGGACAGGGCCTATATTTTTAAGGTCCATTGTGTTTAGAGGTAAGGAGTTGATTTTCCTCTAAGCAGTAGGGAATCTTTAAAGGGTTATTGATATTTGGTGCAGTGCTTTATGCCTATCATCCCAGTGATTCAGGGTGCTGAGGTAGGAGGATCCCAAATTCAAGGCCAACCTGGGCAATTTAGTGAGACCTCTCCAAAATAAAAAGTAATGAGCTAGTTGTAGTTCAGGGATAGAGTGACCTGAATTCAATCCCCTGTACCAAAAAAAAAAAAAAAAAGAAGCTGCAGCAGCAGTTAGGCATTGCCTTACACACCTGTAATCCCAGCAGTTTGGGAGACTGACGCAGAAGGACTGCAAGATTGAGGCCAGTCTTAGAAACTTAGTGAGACCCTATTACAAAAAGGACTGGGGACATAGCTCAGTGGTTCAATCCCTGGTATAGAAAGAAAGAGATTTCAGGGTAACTGATTAGGTTGAGGGAGTGAATAAAGGGGACAGTCCAGGTTGTATTGGTTTCTGAGGAATAGTGGGCTAGTAAGAATCAGAGCTGGTCAGTCTCATAGTTCCCTCCTTCCTCAGTCTGGAGATGTGTTGGTGAATGTTAAGGAGCACTCCCGGCAGATCAATGATATCCAGTTATCCAGGGACATGACCATGTTTGTCACGGCATCCAAAGACAACACAGCCAAGGTAAGCCTGGGCAAGAGATCTGGTAGGACTGTACCCATCCTTTGGCTGCCCCCAAGAAGGTACTTTTTATATGTTTCTCCTTTCCTTGTCTCTCCAGCTCTTTGACTCTACAACCCTTGAACATCAGAAGACTTTCCGGACAGAACGTCCTGTCAATTCAGCTGCCTTGTCTCCCAACTATGACCATGTAAGGGAACCCC